ATAATGATTCATCAAAATGGCAATCCGCAAATCTTGCAGTAAATTAATCTCCAGTCGTTGGTTCAATATATTTGATTATAGATGGATATTCATATCCAACATAAATTCTCATCCTTCGTTGGGGTAGACTAATTGGAATATATACTGTACATCCAAATATTCGTAAATGGGAAATATTTGGTTCCTGACCATGAACCAATTGTAATGGAAAAATATCATTGTAATTTGTTGGTCTGATACGTATAAGTTGTGATGCATGTAGAACAACATGTCCCCAGGTCCCTATAGGGAGATTAGATTTTATAAGCATAGGTCTCGCAATCCATTGGATTCGTTTTATAAATGATTCAGTTAGACCACTTTAAATGTGAACATAAGCTACAGGATGTTCCACTTTTATTCCAACCGACATACAATAAGTTATAAATGATTGGGACGTAAATTCACCAGCATTATCGAGTCGAATTATTTTTATTGGATAATCAGGAAAATGTGCTCGTAATCGTATTATTTTGCAAGTAATCTTGCAAAAGCCAAATCACGAGATGATAATAAACACACATGTGGCCATCGAGTTGATGCATCAATCAGAACCATAAAATATCGAAATGGTCCACATGGTGGATGAATTGGGCCACATATATCACCATGAATTCATTCTAAAAATGTCAACGATTCATTTCTTATCTTAGATGGTGATGACCTTATTATCAACTTTCCTTTAGAACATACAACACAAGAGAATTCGTGGGATTGAAAAATCTTCTAGTTTTCAAATGCATGACTACATGAATTCTTAATAATTTTTCGTATCATCGTTGAACCAGGATGGCCTAAATTGTCATGCCAAATCTTAAATGTATCTGTAAACTTCTGGTTTACATTGTCAGTAAATTTTGAATTTACTGTATTATATGATTCACTCATTCTCATAGTTATATAATATAACCCAGATGAGAAAGCGGGTAGTTTTTCTAACATATATCTTTTACCCATCATAGTTGAGGTAATACAAAGATATTCAATATTTCTTTCATTCATAGTCTCAATATGATATCCGCTTGAACGAATATCCTTAAAACTTAACAAATTTCTTTGAGACTTAGGCGAAAATAATGCATTTTCGATCATGAGTTTTGTGTCATTTGGCATAATAAAACTTGCTCTTCCAGAGTCCTCAATTATTTGTGTACATCCTAATATAGTATTGACATGTGCTCGATCATTTCTCAAATTCAAGAAATTAATATTTCTTATTTTTAAGAATAGTATGCGTTGTCGCACTGTCTTAAGACATATATCCTCAACTTGGAGCTCAAAATGATATTTATCCATAATCTAGAGGAAAAAAATTAAATAAAATAAAAATAATATAATGCATAAGTATATTTAAAAAACGTTAATAATAAAATAAAACATAGTTCACAACAATAATAAAAACTTAAAATAAATTTTATATTTCATAAATATATTGATCAATTCTGATTATTTTCATCTTTAGGATTGATAAGGAAATCAATTGCATCCAAATGTATCAGATCATCTGGTGAAATCACTAGAACCGTCAGCAATGAAATTTGTTTCAATGTTTTTCTCTTTGGTCTTCAAGGATTCTTGATAAAGATTAACAAATTGCTTGGGAGTGTGACAAGTCTGCGACCAATAACCTTTCATCCCGCATCGGTGGCACATACTTTTCTTTACCCTTTTATTCATTCCACCATCATAGCTTTATTGGGTTTTATCCTTCTTATTAAGTTACTTCGGCCACCAGAAAAATAACTTCTTGCTCTCCTTCGTCCACGTCCACGTCCATAGCTTCGACCGCGACTACGACCACGACCACGATTATTATTGAATGCTATCACATTCGTTTCAGGGAATGGAGCAGAACCAGTAGGACGAGACTCATGATTTTTCATTAATAATTCATTGTTTTGCTCAGCAACAAGGAGACAAGAGATCAATTCTCCATATTTTGTAAAATATTTTTCACGATATTGTTGTTGTAAGAGCACATTCGATGCATGAAATGTGGATAATATTTTCTCCATCATATATGAATCAGTCATAGTTTCACCTCACAATTTTTTTTGTGAACTGATTCGAAACATAGCCGAATTACACTCACTAACAGATTAAAATCCTGAAAGCGAAGATGCATCCAATCGTAACGTGCTTTCGGGAGAATCACAGTTTTTTGATGATCATATCTTTCTTTTAGTGATTTCCAAATATCTGCAGGATCTTTATGAGTAAGGTACTCAATTTTCAATCCATCATGAAGATGATGACGAAGAAATATCATTGCTTTCGCTTTATCTTGGTTGGATGATTTATTCGATGCAACAATTGTCTCTTTGAGACCTTTAGATTCGAAATGGATCTCTACATCGAACACCCATGATAAGTAATTCTTGCCGGTAATATCAAGGACTTCAAAGTCGAGATTGGTCAGATTCGACATGATAAAAATATAAAAATAATCGGAATGAAAAATATAAGTTATTAGATAAATTTAGAATTTTTTTAATACACAAGATCCATATATATGGCGATTGTAGAGTATACTTAGTTATAATAATTTTATAATGGGTAAAACCCCTAAAAAACCTCCGACTTGCAAAAATATATACAAATAAACCTTCAACTTGAAAAACTGTCATTTAATCCCTGAACTTGTAACTTATCACTGAATAAAATCTCGAACTTGCAAATTATTGCTCTAATAAACCTTTGACCGATTTGACCACAATTCCAGGCGATCGGAAATCTAGTATTAACGGATTGCTGATGTCACCTTATACACGTTATCAATTTTAATTTAAAAAATGACATCAGCAATCCGTCAATACGTGGATTTCTGATCGTTTGAAATTGTGGTCAAACCGGTCAAAGGTTTATTAGAACAATAATTTGCAAGTTCGAGGTTTTATTCAGTGACAAGTTACAAGTTCGGGGATTGAATGACAGTTTTTCAAGTTGAAGGTTTATTTGTATATATTTTTGCAAGTTGGAGGTTTTTTAGGGGGTTTACCCTTTTATAATATAGTATAAGAAAAATATATAAATAAAATAATAATAAAAATACCTTGAAAAGTAATCGTGCTGATAACGTGTTGTAAAAATAGTAATAACTTGAAAAGTAATCGTGCTGATAACGTGTTGTAAAAATAGTAATAACTAAGAATGCTAAATGGAGATATGAAGAAGAGAAAAGAGATATATAAAGAAAGAGAGTATTCGATTTATATTATTTTTTCTTTCTTTTTTGGTGTGTTTACAAATATGATTACAAATATCTATTTACAGACTCCATTTGAATTAATAAAAAAAAGAGTTATATGAATAAATTAAATATAGATATTTATCACACTTTTATATTTATTTCTTAACATAATATATATATTTTTGTTGTTATTATTTTGTTAATTTATTTCTGATTAGATTGTTTCTTCTATATTTTAAAATTCAAACCAACAATTTTCTTATATAGTTTGTGATATTTAAGTTTCATGTATCTCTTTTTTATATGTTTATTTTTGTTTACCGTTAAATTAGAAATAAATATGAATAAAAAATTAGAAATAACTCACGAGGTGGTTCGTTCAACTCGAAAAACGGACGAATCGATTTGAGACGAGGTTTTTTACTTTTAAAAATGAGTTTGGCGAACGGAATCTAAAACGATCCGAACCTAGTGAATGGAGCCCAAAACGAAGTGAGACACCTCCGCCTCAGCAAGCGTTGCCCATTTTGCTCGCAGTGTGGGTTCTCGGGCAGCCTCTTTTGCGCTTCATGCAGTACCCGACTCTGCCGCCAGCTAGAGAAGAATGGCTATCTATTCTTTCTAATAAAATTTGCAGTTAAAAATATATATATATATATATATATATATATATATATATATATTAACAATTTGTGGAGCCACCGATTCTAAGTTCTATTGAGAGAATCGAATATAGTATACAAACAAACAGTTTTTGAAATGTTATCTTATTGATTGGAGAGCGATGGGTTTATAGAATTAGGTTCGGTCCCTTTTTTTTGTAGATAGCCATTTTAGGAAAGATGTTAATCAAATAAATGTTTTTGGTCCATTAAAAGGGGAAAAAAATTAAAGGTGTGGCAAAAAAATGTTTCATCGTCATCATCATCATATATATGTATAATGAGATTCATGAACATAAATGGAAGCCATTAATGTCTGAATGTTATATTGGAATTTGATGCACATGGCTTGTTCTCATACAAATGGACGCTTCGTCTCACTTTAGGCCCGTATCCCATTCCTTCTCCATCCTTTTCATTTGCCCAAACATCCTCACAATTATAAACTACACACACACACATATATATATATATATATATATGTATACACATGTATATATTAAAAATAGATTAGGCCTAATATATGTGGGGAAAATAAAGTCGCTCAATAAAATATTTTTGCTTATTATTAGGTTTTATAAGAAAATATTTTTGTTTACCTAATAATTATTTCTGACTGTATGTGTACCCAAAAAATAAGTAATGGAGTTGTTTACAGTTGACATATGCCCATTCTCAATTTTGACATATGTAGATAATGAATATCCGTTGCGCTTCTATTATTTTTTTTTCATAAGAAAATAAATTAAATCTTATGCAAGACATTGTCTTATTTGGAAAGTACATTATTCATTCATTTGCGAAAATAATAAATGTTTTATGTTGATTTTGATTCATACATACATACATACATACATACATACATACATACATACATACATACATACATACATACATACATACATACATACATACATACATACATACATACATACATACATACATACATACATACATACATACATACATACATACATACATAAGATTTGAAATATTTCCTTTTATAATAGTAAAACAGTGATTATAGATATGGGCCTAAAACCTTGATCCAAACGTTCGGCCCGCTGGATTGTACGGATTCCGTATTTGGACCCCTCGTGAACAAATGATATCGTCACTTTCTGTGTACTGATCATTTCACATATTCGATTTTATTGTACATACACACCGAATTATAAATTATGCTTTTTTTTTCCATTACTTTGAAATTTTATATCCACATCATCACCAATGATCACCCTGTTCCACGTAACACCATACAGATGAAAATGAACGCATCTCCACCGTCGATCCACATCCTCGCAAGTCGCATCAAATCCGGAATCACCCGTTCAGTAAAGATCGAGAACGTCAAAGATCGGACGGTTGCAGAGAGGACACGTGCCACGATCCACCCAGATCTCTCTGGAGCAAACTCTACAGTACGTGTGCCCGCAGGGAATCATCGCCGCCCCCTTCTCCCTTCCCATGCACACGCAGCACACAGGATCACACCCCAACCACGTCGAATCACAGCCGTCCGATTCCGCCATCAGCCTCATCAACGGCACCTTCTTCGCCGTCGTTTCCGCCGTTACGCTCTGTCGTTCCGCCGCAAGTGCCTCAGCAAGGTTCGTCACTCCGGGTAGCAAACAGCCCGAATCCGTACCAAGACCCGGATCCGGACTTGGGTCTAACGAGTCAACGACCCGGTTCCGACCCGAGTGTGTCGCCATCCTCTCCTCGTCATCGCTGTCATTTTCCACGGCGACCGTCGTTGGTCGGAGATTCCAAGCGGACCCGCCACAACAGCCTACGCTTTTCAATCTCAGCCGTCGCTTCAGGGTTCTCCACTTGCTCCTCGCTCGATCTCCGCCGTCGGATCGGTCCTCGAGCAGACCCAGAATCACAGTCCTCCCACTTCCGGTTCTGTCCGACTCGGACGTTTCCCTGAGCAGTTCACCGAGTTGACTCATCTCGACCCGAAAAAAGGTTGCTCCTTTGGATTTTGTTCTCTTGAGATTTTTGAAATTGATGAAGCACACGAGAAAATGGAAGGGGGAAATAAATGCAGGGATTGGTTTTGGGTTCTTCTTAGTGTTGACGTTGATTTCTATTTGGAAACTAGTTTTAAAAATAATTACAAGTTCTTTATTTTATTTTTTTAATTGGTTTATTATTTACAAGCTGGAGAAAATGACAAAAATGGGGGAAGAAAAAGCGTACCAAAGTGGGTTACCACTCATCAGCGGCGTATCCACTTCACATTTGCTGACATTTATTTTATACCAAGTAACGCACACATATTTGCGTTTTAAATGTTATATATCCCTTTTCCAAATATAATTTTAATCTAATGATTAAAAAACATTCTACAAACTACAAGGTATACAGTTCAAATTCTCATAATATAACAAAATCTTCAAAGATTTAATCATTGGATTATATAAAAAAAATCATGGTAAACATTATGTTGATGAATCACGTTTAAAGCAGTACAATATGTATTATGCCGCTGATGGAAAACAATAAGAATAATTGACGACTTTTCCGTGGTGGAAGCATCAAATGTTGCTTCTCGAACCAAAAGTCTTCACTATATTTATAATTAATTATTCAACTAAGTAGTTTAGGTTTAACATCAAATATTGATACCTTATAATATCTTACTCCTAATACGCGAGAAATAATAATAGTTTTTTTCCTCAAAAAATGGATATAAATAAATATTTAAGTGTGCGCTCAAAATATTGAAGCCCAAAATCTAATGTCCGAAACCCAAATAGACCCAGGCTTTGGGCCCTTTTCAGCCGTTACCATGAGAGCGAACCACCACCCCCACCACATGCTAGTAAAACGATACCTTATCATGTCGTTTCATTGCCAATTCCCGAAAATGCCCTTTTTGTTTTAGGATGACCACTATATATACATACACCTTTTGTTTCACCAACCACTTAGGCTTCCTAGTGAGCTCTGACGCTGACAAAAAGAGGGAAGTTAGGTTTGAACGAGTGAAGAAATCGAGGGATGGCTCCTGCTATTGCACTCATACCCGATATCGCCGCCGGAGCTCCGGCGAACGCTCCGGCGACTGGCCGCGCTTCGGTGTACAGCGAGGTTCAGTCATGCCGTATCAACCACGCGCTTCCTCTCCCTTCTGTGCTTAGATGTCCTTTCAATATCGTCGACGGACCACCTAGCTCTGCTGCCGGAAATCCAGGTTAGCGTTATCTCTATACTGCTCTGCTCGATCTACGGTTTTCTTTTGATTTGTTGGTGTACGAAATGCTTGATCTGGTAGAACTCTGGATCCTGTTTGTTTGCTGAGAAAATCTGAGAAAAAAGATGTGTGGAAACCAAATCTAGGTGCATTTGATAAGTTTGAATTGTCCTTTGGGTTAGTAAATTGACGAATTTATAAGTTGGCACTGCTTATGCGAATTCAATGAATTCCCAGACAGATCTGTGTTCTGTGGAGTGTGGACTTAGAGAGTTTTTGCTGATTTGCTTGCTTGTTATGCTCGCAGATGAGATAGCGAAGTTGTTCCCTTGCCTATTTGGCCAACCATCGGTATCTCTGGTCGCGGATCAGAATGCAGCCTCCATGGATCAGAAACTGAAGGTCGGTGTTGTTCTGTCTGGAGGTCAGGCACCTGGTGGGCACAATGTCATTTCGGGACTATTCGGTAATGATCTAAAACACACGCTTGTATGCTAAATTCCCTCTCTGCAGCATTCTTCGTGAAACTGATTTGTATTTGATTTGTTTCTGGACTGTAGATTATTTGCAGAACCGTGCCAATGGCAGCACATTTTACGGGTTTAGGGGTGGTCCAGCTGGTATTATGAAATGCAAATATGTCGAGTTAACTTCGGATTACATTTATCCTTACAGAAACCAGGTATTACTACTATAAAGTTTTGATCCTTGTGACAAACTTGTCATGGACAGGGATTTTAGATGCATTTGTCCTTTTCATCTTAATTCGAACTTCAATTCGGAAAACCAACCACTATGGATTTAACAATCTTCGTCGAGCAGAGGCGAGAATTATAAGCTCTCTTTTTGGTCTTGACACTTGGCAGGGTGGTTTTGACATGATATGCAGTGGAAGAGACAAGATTGAAACTCCTGAGCAGGTAAAACATTTTACTAGGGGTGTCAAAACGAGCTCAGCTCGCGAGCTGGCTCGTGGCTCGCCAGAAAACGAGCGATCTGAGCCGTAATTTTTTCAGCTCGTTAAAAAACGAGCCTAACGAGCCAGAGCTCATTGAACACGTGTTCATTGAGCCTGACTCGGCGAGCTGGCGAGCTGCTCAACAAGCTGGTATTTTTTAAAAAATTAATTTAAATTTATATAAAGAAACTCTAATATAATTTTATATTAATTTTTTTCATATTATTTATATGATATTATAAATATACTAATTATTATGATTGTGATAATTGAAAATATTAAATGATATTGGTGTTTTATTAAAATTTTATGTATTTATTTAAATTTATAATTATATTTAAAATAAATATAAATAAAAAATATTATATATCCTTAGCTCAACGAGCCGGCTCGTTCAGATCGGAAAACTGGCGAGCGATCTGAGCCGAGGTTTTTCTGGCTTGTTAGAAAACGAGCCTAACGAGCTGAGCCCAAAACGATCTGAGCCAAATGAGCCGAGCCCAAAATGATCCGAGCTGGCTCGTTTGACACCCCTACATTTTACTAGCTTCTCAATATTTATGTTCCTACTTCCTTAATTGTTTAATTTTGAAGTTGTTTACAGAAATTGTGTTTCACTTGCAGTTCAAGCAAGCTGAAGAAACTGCAAAGAAGCTAGATTTGGATGGATTAGTTGTCATTGGAGGAGATGATTCCAACACCAATGCTTGCCTCCTAGCTGAGAACTTCAGGTAAATCTGGCAGCCATTGGTTTTGAGCTGTTAATTCATTTTAGTGGTAAATTTCATCCATTTACCCCATTATATTACTTTTGATCAGGAGTAAGAACATGAAAACCCGAGTCATTGGCTGCCCCAAGACCATTGATGGCGATTTGAAATGCAAAGAGGTTCCTACAAGTTTTGGATTTGATACAGCTTGCAAGGTAAATCAGTGCATTGCATTCAGGATATGAAGTTTCTCAAATGCCTCCAAAGATATTTATTTTCACGTGGCCTTGTTTGATTAACTATTTGTTTTCACACCCTGAGAAAATATTGTGCTCATCTTCTAAGGTTTTGCTTTTCTGTAAACTGATTATGTGAGATTGGATATTTCTCATAAAAAAATCTAATTGCTTGTTCCACTGGAATGATGGTAGTAGGGACACACTGAAGTTTGTGTTCATCGAAGCTTTTGAATTTAAAGAATAAAAAGAAGCTAACTTATCATTTTGTGATGCTTATGTAGATATACTCCGAAATGATTGGAAATGTCATGATCGATGCAAGATCAACAGGAAAATACTATCATTGTAAGCAACGGGACAGGAACACATCCAATTTCATCACCGCAGTTTTTTTCTCTTTTTTTCCCGCTAATAGTGCCCTCAATTTCGCTCATCTTATGCTTTTGCAGTCGTCAGACTTATGGGTCGTGCTGCATCCCATATTACACTTGAGTGCGCTTTGCAAACTCACCCAAACATCACGATAATTGGAGAAGAGGTATGCTCTTCAGAATATCATTTGTGGAACATGTAATTAAAATTTCAGCCTTGCAAAAGATGATTTGTTCAATTCCTTGCTCGCTGTTTTGGAATGTGCAACTCAGATTTTCTTAGTCTATTTGAACAGATGATTAAGAGTGTTCGAATCAGATTATCTTACATGGTCACTGTTGCTGAAAGTCTCTATGTTCTGGACATTGATGAGAAAGGTCTTTTTGCAGGTTTATGCCCAGAAGCAGACATTGAAAAATGTTACTGATTACATTGTAGATGTTATCTGCAAACGGGCTGAACTCGGTTACAATTATGGTGTTATACTAATTCCGGAAGGATTGATTGATTTCATCCCTGAGGTACAATTTCCATGGCAGAAAGCAAAGTTTACAACTTCCGGACCAGAACTGTCTTTTCCTCGTATCATCATATCCTTGTCTAAGTGTCCCCTTAGCTGACAGTTTCTGTTGTTTCCAACCTCTCAGGTACAGGAGCTTATTGCAGAACTAAATGAGATTCTAGCTCATGAGGTTGTTGATGAAAGCGGGCTGTGGAAGAAGAAACTGACTGAGCAATCCCTGAAGCTGTTTGAGTTTTTACCCGAGGCAATTCAGGAACAATATCCTTGTCTAAGTGTCCCCTTAGCTGACAGTTTCTGTTGTTTCCAACCTCTCAGGTACAGGAGCTTATTGCAGAACTAAATGAGATTCTAGCTCATGAGGTTGTTGATGAAAGCGGGCTGTGGAAGAAGAAACTGACTGAGCAATCCCTGAAGCTGTTTGAGTTTTTACCCGAGGCAATTCAGGAACAGTTGATGCTCGAGAGAGATCCACACGGCAATGTCCAGGTAAAATTAATTATGGTCTTGACCTTTTGTAATCATTTTCCATCAAGGTATTATACTAGATGACATCGTTCCCTCACGTTACCTTTGTCGATAGGTGGCTAAGATAGAGACGGAGAAGATGCTCATTCAAATGGCTGAGACTGAATTAGAGAAAAGAAGGCAAGAGGGTACATACAAAGGGAGATTCATGGGACAATCCCACTTCTTTGGGTACTTTCCTCGCTCCTAATGCAATAGAACGAACATAATCGGTTACTTGGTTTTTGTTGTCACATATGACTTGACGAAAATGTGTGTGTGTTTTTTTAAAAATGACGAACAGATATGAAGGAAGATGCGGTTTGCCAACAAATTTCGATGCCACCTACTGCTATGCCCTTGGTTATGCCGCAGGAGCTCTCCTTCGCAGTGGAAAAACCGGGTTGATTTCATCGGTTTGTATTCCCGTCCCGTGTTCTTCTCTTCAAACTTCTTTCTCGAATATATAAAAGAAGAAGACGGGTACTTGAACCAAAAGTTATGAAACAGGTGGGAAACTTGGCAGCTCCAGTGGCAGAATGGACTGTCGGTGGCACTGCTCTCACTTCTTTGATGGATGTGGAGAGGAGACACGGTACCCACTTAAACCTCCTTATGAAACAGGTGGGAAACTTGGCAGCTCCAGTGGCAGAATGGACTGTCGGTGGCACTGCTCTCACTTCTTTGATGGATGTGGAGAGGAGACACGGTACCCACTTAAACCTCCCTCTCTCTCTCTCTCCCTCTCCCCCCATACTCAAGAGTTGGTTTTGTTAACGTGGCAGGTAAGTTCAAGCCTGTGATCAAGAAGGCAATGGGTGAACTTGAAGGTGGGTTTTTTGGGGACTAAATTCTAAAATGTTTGTTTGGAAGGTGCACCGTTCAAGAAATTCGCATCGCAAAGGGAGGAATGGGCGTTGAAGAACCGTTACATCAGTCCCGGTTCGTTTATATACACACCATCCCCCCTCTTATTATACACTTTCTCGTCCTCTCACGGTTATGTATTTGCAGGTCCGATACAGTTCAAAGGTGCAGGCTCAGACGCCGTCAACCACACTCTACTTCTGGAACTCGGGGCTCATTAACAAAATTCCCCCTTATCAAATCGGCTTTTCTCACCCCCTAGTTTACTTTTACTTTTGAAAGTTATTCATTGATCTTTGTAACAATCCCCTTTCTCATTTTAATTCGCCTTCTTTTATGCGCTCTCCTTTATTGTTTACTTGAATTCAATATCATTTGTCAAATGGCAATCAATAATGACGTTGAAACAACTAGTAGTAATTGAAAAGATGGTTTTATTGGCAGTCTCATCGCGTAACGTCAAGAAAACTATTGACGTTTGTTTAGTCACTCAACTTACACACACACACACACACACACAAGAGAGAGTGAGTGTCTGTGTGTGTGTATGCGCGCGCACTAGTGAAGTCGACCTCTCCCACAGCGAGTAACCAATATTCGTTTTTTAAAATTTTATTATATCAGAGTTAACCATCAGAATCGAGGCCAAACTACGTGAGAATGCAACCTTATTTTCATATTGAAACCAATTGTATATGCTAGGCAAAGAAGAGTATTGATATTCATAGTAATAAAAAAGGGCGAGTACAATATCTATTATACGATATATATATATATATGTATATATACATGTAGATAGAGAGAATAAGGAACCTAGCACAGTAGAGAGAAGTGACGTAAGATGGTTTTTGTCTGGCAGTCTCTAAACCTCACCTCTTCCCTTCTTTTATTCTCTCTCCTCTTTTTATGGTCTCCCCAGGACCCCATCCCCTCACTGTACCTCTCTCTCTCTTCTTTCCACGTATATCACACACCAACATACACTTAGTTTACACTCATATCTCTATGTACGTGTTTGTGTAGTGTATAAGCCCTAACCCTAACCCTAACCCGTTGTGTTTCCTACCTTTGAGACATCCAATTTAATTTACAGGCATACACCTTGTAAGAACTTGTTTTAGACATGTTAATTATATCATTTTCTGCATTTTTTTTAATATTCGAAACTAATTTGGGAATGTCAAGTGTTCCTGCGCTAGATAGAATTATCTTAGCGGAGGAGACGATTTTCCATTCCCTCCACATCGCTTATGCGTTCGACGCCCATGAATGACACATCATAACAAAAAAAAATATTCCATTCTCATATTATTTTTTTATCTTTCTATGAATCGATCTCATCTTCTAAATTTAAGGCTAAATATTTATTGATTTTTGTTGTTGTTGTTGTTGTTTTTATCGTCGCTTTTTGTTTTGGTTGTTTTTGGCTTCTTCATGATTTCCTTTGTCTAGTTTCTAGGGTTTTCTAAACTTCTACAGGTCAACAAACTATATACTATGGCAGTCATGAGGTGAATTCATTAACTTTTAATAGATTCTTGTTGAGGATCCGGATTTGTAATGTTAAGATACGTATTTCAAGTAATCTGAATTATTCATACTGCAACGTAAAGTCATTACCCTTAATTACTTTACGTCAGTTTTTACAAATTAACCTAAATTTAGATAGTTTAATCAGTGAAACAAACGTCTATTCAGTTCCGAATTCAAAATTCAAATATGAGGAGATGGTAAATCCTTAATTCCGAAATAAGACTAGATCTTGATTCAATACACTCGATTATAAAAAAAAAAAACTCTCGAATAATTTAATAAGTTTATTCGCCAAAAATCTCTCAAAGTTTCCGAAAAAGGAGATTTTCACCTTTAAAGCAACGGGGTGACCATAAAATACTTTGCTCAAATCAGATAAATCTGAATAAATATTAAATACGAAAATTAATAACGATAATAAATTGAAATGCAAACAAGAGGGATATTCTTTTGTAATATTTGAAAGTTTAATTTTCGGATAGACATTATTTAGTTGATCGTGAGTCCATTATGTAATTAAATGTCACTTTGAGTTGAGATTGATTTTGTGGGTACGGTGAATCTTTCACAGGAAACCCTCTGACCCTACTGCGATTTGAAGGCTTTACCATGGCGGATATATATATATATATATATATGTTATATATAATACAAACATATCAAATCATAATGTCGTCGTCATCATTTTCTCTGATTTCACATGCTCTATTTAATTGAATTACACCAGGATTTTTGTTGTTGTTGCAAACAGTGAAGAAGCTATATATTTATCTTGTACATATCTAATTACTAATCAAATTTACATGGGAAAAAAATGGAGTTCATAGTGCAACTAATTCATTAATTCATTCATTTCATATAAATTTTTTGGCGACCTTTTCAGCAACCAAAATTGAAAAGGCAATTCACCAACAATTCCACAAGGCATCAAAGAGACAGAATCTGAGTGCCATATATCTAACACAATATATGTACAAGCTAGCTGTCTTCAACAAATTTGTTTCTTTGTTCTATTGGATTCCATTTTTTTATATAAATTTTTTTTTGAAAAGGTTATAGGGTTCTGCCTAAATTTTGAAATGTTATTTGAATTTGATAGAATTTTAGCTTTATATTCCAGTCAAGCTAATAAAGTAGCACTATATATATATATATATATATGTGTGTGTGTGTGATGTAACACGCCCTTCAATGCATCGGCTACATGATTAGGAAGTTTTTCTATTTCTATTTTGTAGATATCTCAATCTCTGTTATAAAAAAAAAAAGATATCTCAATCTCTGTATATATTTAATATAAAACCCAAAGTGTGTTGAAGTTCAAAATTTTGAATATAAACACAAACAAATGCAATCACGCATAGATATATCTTCAATCTTGTCATCGAGAATATTGTTTTTATTTACGTGAACGGATCCTTGAAAAGCGCAGGTGAAACTGTCAAATAGATAGTAAGCAACCAAATTCATTCGACATTCCTCAAAAATATTTGAAGCAAAGTCTTTCATATGTTATGCGACAACAATCTTGTCAAATTTGTCCTTGTTTAATTATACGTATCACACATAAATCTACATCAAAATGTTCTTTCTATCATAGGCATAGCATTGTACACTTCCTATAAAAAGGTAATTCATAATGTATATAGATACTTCGATATATATATATATATATATATAATGCGTATCCAAATATATGTAAATAAATGTAGGTAAATCGGTCGGTGACCATTTATTGCGAAGCTTTTGGGTTTAAATTATCTTGAATAGCGAACCGTGGTGGGTTATTGAGACATTTGTAGCAATTGGTTATTTTATTGAGTTTATTAGCCTTTGATTAATTGTGCATTTCTTTCTGTCACCGGAATCGATTTCAGTATTTTGAGGATAACTTTGTTATCTCTTAACCACGAATCTAAGGGGACTAAGTGGGTCGAAGGCCCGTTGAACTCTTATTTATCAAAAATAAATTTACAGAGTTAAGTGTTTTTCATTTCAATGATTTTTTTTTGTAACGGTGAACTTTGTGAATCATTGAAATAATTTTCGGAAAAAGATTGTAAAGAAGTATTTATCTTATATTTGATAAAAACACTCTTTTATCTGATTTTTTAATAAAGCATGTATTATATATGTTCATTTTGATTGTATGTATTGGGCATTTAGATATAAAAGAAGAATCAGATTCTCGATTGGAAGAAATGTTACGTATAAAAAAAAACTTTTTTTTTTTGCAATAGGTGGAGCTATTTTCCACGGGACTACATGAACTTAGCCCTACTGTTGAGTTGTAGGGTCTTTAGGGTTTTGGAGAGAGGAGACATTCGGACTGTCCCACTTGCTTTTCGACCTCTTTTCAGGATTGAGAAAACAAACATTTAATAATAATTATTGTTATTATATTAATATAATATATAATTATATATTATAAGAAAAAGGAACCAGCTTTTTTAATAATTGCTGATTAGATGCTCTGACTTGGACTAAATAAAACTTGCAAGTAACAGTTTCAAGTTCCCCTTACTTTAATTTTCTTTTTATATTTTTCTAAGAAAACTGATAAATGATAAGTTTTTTTTGGAACACGCGTTCTCCAGTTTTGTTTAGCATTTGATACGATAATGATACAATCTTCGGTAGATCTTATTCGGACATACGGATAGAACAATACATACATATATATATATGTTAATATATATGTAGATGTTTATATACACGGAGATATGTGTGTATGTTTGTGTCTATATACATGGACATGGAATCTTGAACGCTCGTTTTCTGCCGCACAATCTTGTTCAAGCAAATCCTTTAAGATTCTTGTTGAAGATAGTCCCGATCAGAGTGTATGTAGCTTATATTTCAATACTTTGATTTTGACGTCAAAAAACGCATTTTAAATATGTACGGTCAATAATTGATTAAGATAAGAAGAGTGGATGATCAATAATTCATAAAATTGTATATAAAAAATGGCTGTATATTGTAAAGATGTTTATTTTAATATAATTCTCAATATATATTTTATCTATATATATAGTTTATCATTTGATCGTATTGCACAAAAGTTTTGGTATTGCCTTTCATTCTTATTCTCACTATAACCGTACACAACTTGTCAACTTGATGTGCTACAATTCCAAGTAATATCTAAAAGCAAAAGGCAGTAATTTGCGTCAAAAAGTAATACCAAGGGCATGATTAAGATTAATGAAACTAAATGCTTTAAACGTGTTTAAAAAAACTCATGGGATATTTAAATACATTAAAAATCCATGTTCGAAAACTAATTGATTTACAAGTTTAGGGTTCATGTCACTTTTAAAAGCATGTCTATTTTTTTGGATAATTAGGTATTTAAAATCGAAATCTATCTCAATTTTAAAGATAAAAAACTTTATGCGAATAAACTCCTCAGATTTAGATAGCGGTGGATGTTTTGATTCGGTTCTTAAAAAACGAATCGTATCGAATCGAAAATCTTGATATTTTTTTTTCGTACCATATCATTTAAAATTCCTAAATGATATATTTTTATGAACTGAATTTTCCGAAACTGAATCGAAATTCAGTTTCGGAAAATTCAGTTCATAAAAATATATCATTTAGGAATTTTAAATGATATGGTACGAAAAAAAAATATCAAGATTTTCGATTCGATACGAATCGAATAATATACGATACTAATTTGGTATGAATTTTTGAATACCGAGTAAATTTTTTTAAATCAAACCGTTAAAATTATGAACCAAATTCCGAAAGGTCCACTCCTAGATTCGAATTAGGAGAGATATAAACATTAGACGTGCCCTTTGGTTTAGTATCTAAGTTTGGGTGTACGTGTGATTGTTCCACAAACACTATATCGAGAATAAATTAATAACCTAAATCACTATCAATTATCCATAGAAAACCGAACCTATAGTTGAAGATTACATACCAAAACGTAAATCCAATATTACTTTTTCGGTAATGATGTCTTTTCATTCTTGTATGTACAATCTCTTGCTTCCTTTTGATATCTTGTCCTCTTCTCGAGGCAAATTATGATAGTCCGTCAAATATAATAAATAAGCAAAACTAGCCAACGAACATCAATCTCAATTATTATACATCTATGCGCATGGGCGGTCGCAATATCTATCTATCTATCTATCTAGAACTATATATACATATATAACTCTAAAGTTCAATGACCATATTTCTTTTGTTCTGTAATTTTATCAACTCACCTTAACGGTCCACATATGTATATACTTCAGTTATTATAATCGTTTATTAGATGAATCAATAAATAAATAAAATGGTTTTTGGCAATGTGATTTGATGGCTTCCTTGTAATCTCCCTTCTCATTGATTTCTCAGTTATCTTTTCTTTGCCAGAAATGGCAGTGAATGCAGTGGAGAGGTTTTTCTTTCATGGGGAAAGTAAAACTTTGCCTTGAAGACTTCTTCTTCTTCAAATTTCCTCACACTTTTGATAAATACAAATCACTGTCCTTAACCTAAAAGCAAGAAGAAAAGAAAAGCTTATAACACCTTCCTCTGTTTTGGCATAAAGATGAAACAAAATAAAGATATAAAAGAACCCGCACAAGCCAATTTAAAAGGATATCCAACGAAATTAGCCTAAAAATAAATTTATATAACATACAATTATGTAAAACATTGTACAAAAATAATTATTTTCTACTCGAAAACAAAAAGAAATTGAAACAAAACTTGCATTGTTTATTCAGAGGTAAAATGATCTCAAACAAATTATTCACAATTTTTTCTTATAAAAATCTCATTCCACAAGATAGAAAAGTATTTTTTGTGTAAAAACTTTACGTTAATTTGCTGATAATCCTTATACATATATGGCAGATGAAATTCACGTATACATACATACATATATATATATATATATATATATATATATTGTCATGTGCATTAGATCTTCATGTGATACATAAGCATCCCAACTTATTATTACATCGCCTTTACGGTAGAGTACAGTCTCATTGATAGACTGTAGTTTTACTTGTTGCCTATGTTCATAGAACGGTTTGCAAAAAATATAATGATTAGGGTTTCTCCCACGGCTTTTTTTTTTTACTGCCACCATTTCTGTTCATTGAAACCGATTTAGTTAAAAAAAAAAAATTGGTTACATGGGTGATAATTACAATATCATTTTCATATGGTATATTTCCTGAACATGATATCATTTGTGTAATTACATCTTCATATGATTTGGGAGAAACAATAATTGAAAACCAATTTTTTTTTAGAAGAGGAACGAAACAGAATCGGAAGTGTAAATGCCATTTGGTGAAAGACACAAAGAGAAGAACACAAACCCATGTCCAAAAAGACACAAATGAAGACGCCAGAGACTTTGGCAGATCAACACAGAAGAGTTAAGAACTCACAGATCACACAATCACTGACTCTGTGTCTGCTTTTTCTTTCTTTTTTTCTACCTTTTAAAATTTTCTCTAGCATTTTTATTTAATTTTTTTTTTCTTCTGCTGTTTCCCTCTCTTCCATAACTATCACTATTTAGGATTTTCCTGTGAAAAAGGGGCTGATTGTTGTAGCATAAATCCCGGGAGACCACCTTTATGTATGCAAACAATTATACGATCATAAATACAGCATGGCTTCATATACTATTAGGGTTTCCCAAAGTTTTTCTACTATTTTATTTATGGAAAAAACAATAATTTAATGCTTCATTAATGCGAGAAGTATTTTCGTGGCCCGGTGGTAAGAAAGTGTCTCATATTTACATAAGTTTGGATTCAAGTTTATAAAAAAAAATGTTTGGATTCAAGCCTAAATATCTACGAGAATTTATAAAATTTTTCTGATTTGGATCTTTCAAAGATTCCCGAACATAATTCGATATTAGATCTGTATTTAGGATTCGATCCTTTTTTCATGGGTGTTTATATAACTTTTATCATGGGTGTTCTAATAATTTCACATAGAAGTTGTCCTAAATGTGAAAATGTCATTAATTTTGGTATAGTGGGTTTTATGTATGAAACCAAAGTGAATGTTAGAGAGAGACTGGGAGAGTGGTTCCAACAGCTCATCTTGTCTGATGGTTTTTGCTGGGGATAATGGTAACGATCCGATGTGTCCTATGATGATTATGATGATGCACAATGCACATCATCATCATGGTATCAACTATACATATCAGTAACTTAAAACCTAGTAGTGTTGGCCCAAAACGTAGAGCATAATATTACCAACCACTACGAAAGCATCTCTTTTTCTTTTGCTGAGAAGTGGGCGCCTTCTTCTTCTTCTTCTTCTTCTTCTTCTTCTTCTTCTAACTTAGCTTCTCTCATGGAGATCCACCAAAACGACGTCGCGGGAGGAGGAATCAACCCTTATTCTTCTTCATCATCTGCTACTGCTAAGGCCAAGATCATGTCTCATCCTCACTATCATCGCCTCTTAGCTGCTTATGTCAATTGCCAAAAGGTGTGTGGAGACAAAAAAAAAAAGACAAGAAAGGAACCCTAATAAGATAGTGAGAGAAGTCAAGAAAATAAGCAAGATCTTGCAAAAGAACTGCTTATGAAAAAAAAGATCTAGCGAAATATATGTGTTCTTCGTGTAATAATCTCAGAAAATCTAGGCCAGGCCAAGGAGATGCCAAAAACCCTTACCACCAAAGATTAGCTTTTTTTTCTTCTTCTTGTTCTTGAAAAGAACTGTTTATTATTTTTGGTTTGGATCTGTTTTGTTTATTGATTTCTTAATCAAAGAAATAATACGGAAAGGGGAAACATTTCTCTTTGACATGAGAGTTTGGAGCATAAGAACCCTTTTCCCAAGTGATCAACCTTACATTATTGTATGTGGGCACGAAGATAAGGACACCTACTTTGACCTCCAAAGATCATTTTTTTTTCCTCTTGTTGTCTGTCTTTATGTGTACTTATATGAGAAGAAATTGACGATCTCTTTCTTGTTTCATTCTTGTGTCTCCGGTAAAAAAAAGGTGGGGGCTCCGCCGGAGGCGGCGGCGAGGCTGGACGAGGCGTGCGCCGCTGCGGCGGCGGCTGCGGCGGCGATGGGCCCCACAGGCTGCTTGGGTGAAGATCCGGCACTCGATCAGTTCATGGAGGCTTATTGTGAGATGCTCATCAAATACGAACAAGAGCTATCTAAGCCTTTCAAGGAGGCCATGCTCATCCTCCAACGCGTCGAGTGCCAATTCAAATCTCTCTCTCTCTCCTCTCCTTCACCTCTCTCTGGTTCTCCCTCTCTCTCTCTGTCTCTCTCTCTTGAAGAAAGCTTTTCTCTTTCTGTTGCTATTTGTGTTGTGTGCATTGAGAATGATGAACATGCCCATGCATTTTCTGGGTTTCCGAGTTTCGGATGACGTTAATCAAACGTAGATTTGTCTGAAAAGTTGTTCTTTTCCTGTGGGTTTTCTAAAAGATTTAACATTTGTTTATTTTTCTTGGGGAAATCATATGTTGCCCTTTAATCTATGATGCTAGGGTTTAGCTCAGCTACGCCTCTGTGCTTGTTCATCTATATGTCTAGGGTTACGTATGCACGCATATATATGATATAAACATACCATGAATGTATACGTATCGATGTCTTTTGTCTGTTGATGTATTAATGCTCAATATCTTGTGACCCGGGGGTTACAAATTTGTTCCACAGGTTTGCTTCATCCAAGACTGCAGCATGCGCATACATGCTCTGTGACACACACACACACACTTATATAATTGTACAAGTCTACATGTAATGGTTTTTTTGTGCTCATAAGCTGCCTAGAATTTTTGTTATATTGGGCGGAAATATGCTAATCGAAAGTTAAATATCGCCTTAAGTTTCATGATTTGATAAACACAAATTGGTATTTGAAGTGCTTACAGTCTCATGTATTTCACATGTTTTTGTTAGGTAGATGCCCTGAGTTAAGTTAAAACTTCTACCTATGCATGCAATTCATATGTACATTGATTTTACATATACACTACACTTGCATCCGCATGAGATGAAATGAAACCTATATAGTCAGATGATCACTTGACACTTGAGGTTTCAGCCTTTCTTGCCTTAAGTGATCCTTGTCTTTGATTTCTGTTAGTATATATATATTCTATCAATGATATCATTGATCTTTATCTCAGCATCACTTCATGAATCCGCACTGAATTGTTTATTACATACCAAGATGCTAGATTCCGACGACATGTCTTGTTTCTTTGTGTATAGGTTGTGGTGAGGGAAGTTCTGATAGAAGTAACAATGTCTCTCCGGAGGAAATGGTTGACATGAACAGCGACTTCATAGATCCGCAAGCTGAGGATAGAGAGCTAAAGGGTCAGCTCCTGAAAAAGTACAGCGGTTACTTAGGCAGCCTCAAGCAAGAATTCATGAAGAAGAGGAAGAAAGGGAAGCTCCCGAAAGAAGCTCGCCAACAATTACTCGATTGGTGGAACCGACACTACAGATGGCCTTACCCTTCGGTAAATTTCTTCTTATTACACAACCTCATGGTTTCCCTATGCAATGCACACTTGCATATTGACGTGCCTCGATCGTTTATATATACGTATCGCACACATTTTTCATAGATTGAATTGGCGTCGTCGAACATGAACCATCGGGTTTTCTAGGGTACTAGATTTTGCGGTCGAGATCTTCACATTGCATATACATCAACTGGGCATGGCCCTTATTTATGTCTATCAAACATGATCGTATTAAATGTCTCATGTAGCTCCTAAACATGGTTAACACAAGCATACTCATCTCACATTTGGGTTTTAAACTGTAGCTGATTCATGATTTTGGTCGGTCTAGAAAATTATATGAGCAGGCGGTGCATCAAATGATTTCAAAAGGGTTGATGGCGAACCATCTGGATCTGCTGTTGCAGGAAACAATCAATTTCTAGGGTTCAAAAATAAGAAGAAAATCGCCCTATTTCATTGCATTACATTTGACATATGATCCCATGTCATCGCTATAACATTTCACAAATCCACTACTCCCGCAATGTGTTACAACCATGGACATGCAACGAGTACGAAACCCTAAACCATTGGTTCGTGTTGCAGGAGCAGCAGAAGCTGGCGCTGGCGGAGTCAACGGGGCTTGACCAGAAGCAGATAAACAATTGGTTCATAAACCAGAGGAAACGCCATTGGAAGCCGTCGGAGGACATGCAGTTCGTCGTCATGGACGCAACCCATCCTCACCATTACTACATGGAAAACGTATTGGGAAATCCTTTTCCGATGGACCTCTCTCCCTCCATGCTCTGATCACATCACATCATCCTTCCTCTTCTACGTACGCTTTTCAACTCATCTATGTCATATATATATATATATATATATATATATATATATATATATATATGTGTATGTATGCATATGTATACTTAAGTTATATATGTGGTCAAATAACTCGTTGTTAAACTGCTTTCTCCAAGTATTTGTGTTGGGTTTGATCAACCGAGTGGCTCGGGCGAGGGAATTTGTGGATTTGGTATACATGGTCCGAGGACCGAAAACTATGGACGTTGTGTTAAGTGTTGATCTCCTCGATGATCTGCCCCTTTTTTTTTATCCTATCCAAGATGTCTTGAGAGTTTGTAGCCCTTGTCTTATTGTTTCGTATGATTGGTAGTGTTCATGACAATTTTAATGCCCTAATACATATACATATATATATATATATATGCATCTTGGTTTAATACCAAGATTTGTATTTGTTCTTTATGAATCATTGAACAATTTTTTTTTTAAAAAAAAGAAAATTTTGTACCACCGTATGCTTATCAGTTATTATCACGAATTGATCTCGAAAAAGTTGGTCGAACTGTTTCACTTTCGCATAAATATGTGCGGTAATATTATTGTACCATTCATATACACCTAACTATATAACATCCAAAAACAGAATACGATTCGGGTCTTTTGTATCGGTATGTTTGTTTTTATGGTTCTAGCAATTTTCGTTCTTTTGCTCTTTTCCAATTATCGCTGATATGTTTTTTACTAATAAAAAAATATTGTATTATATGTTGGACCAATAATTTGGATTTATATTAAATATCAGAAGCTAAGGTAAAGAAGTATTTAATTGCATCAAAGAACAAAAATACAAAGATATTAGGCCCAATAACATGGGCTTTAAATTAAAATTATGGGCCAATACAAAAACTAATAATAAGCCGCCAATGACCCGACCCGATTTGAAATTACCCGACCCACACTCGTGCACCTCCGTTTTGCTTTCTGAAATCCCGAGCTTAAACCTCCGTCCCGCCTCCATTGGAGTATTTCCTGATCATCGCCATTTCGCTTCTACTTCGCCGTCCGTTATTACTGCCGGATAAATTCCTTTCTCCGGTAAGTTATACCCTTTTCCCCCCTCCAATTTCCTTTTTCTTCTTCTGGGTTTGGCCGTTTCTGGGTGTATCGGGTTGGAGTCTGCAGGCAAGTGGGTACTGATTCTCCGATTTCATCTCAGGTTTCTTTGAAAGGGATTACCTTCTTATTTAGTGTTATGACTGGCTGTAGGAACTGCGATTCTGATTTGTTACGCCCAGTAGTTTATTGCCGTTAATGATGTCTTGATCGGTTTGCAGTCGAAATCTCTAATTGATGCTGAGAATTTGGTTTTGGTGTTGCAGATGGAAAGGTAGTAGATTTTTGTTTTCTGCATCTTCATCTTCTTCAATTGAATCGTGGGCATGGCTGCTTCAATCTCTAGAAGGATTTTTCGCTCGTTTGGATCTTTGACGGCTTTGGGACGCAGCAATTCATCGAGTATTACTTCAGTCGCTATGTGTCTTTCCTTCCTCTGTCCTTATCCATATGGTATAGATTGAAGGTCTGGTTTCTGCTTGTCTCATTTGGTTCAAACAGATTTGTCTGCTCATTCCTCTGGAGATGGCTTGTCTTCCCTTCCTAGTAATCTGAAGGTGAATCCATGGCTGCCTTTGTTTTCTTCCATCTGTGTATCTAGGGTTGTAGTTGTGATTGTTTTGTTATTTTCAATTTCAGGTCATATTCTTTTTCACTATGGCATATCTTGACTGTGGTCTGAGCAACTAAGTTGTGATACCATTATCATTTTGTTAATGCAGTGTGGTTTGCCTTTGCTTACCTACCGAAAACTCTCTACGACTATTTTGACTCCTGACTCAAGCGATGGCCCATTTCCTTCCGATTTGCTGGCCAAAAAGACGGTGATTACACCGGACCGTACCATAGGTATGAAGTTGAATCCATTGAATTAGGAGATATATTACTACATGTTTGCAAGAAACTCTCTCTAGTTTATATGAACCTGTATCCGTATGTCCTTTTTTATAAAGCCATCTTGCTTAGCTTTTTCACTTGCAGAAGTTCGCCATGAGAAATGGAGAATGATTCGGGTTCACTTATCTGTGGTCTTGTTATTTCTTATTTGAAAGCTAGAAATATAGTTTGCATGTTTGAATAGATCTGGTTAGAATTTTATGACTATCGATTCCTTTTGTTTCTGTACAATTGTTTTACTGGTTTGGTGGCATTTTTCATAGGACTCTATCAGGACTTGGTTATTCCCATGACGAATTTTCAAAACGAAGACAAGGGTTTCATGGTGTTAGCGGGTGATGTCTTTGATGTTCCCATAAGGAAGGATATCATTCACCGTGTCGTCAGATGGCAGCTCGCAAAACGCCAACAGGTAATCTATATATGCATGTATAAGATCAAATGCCGTTCAGTTATCATATGGTTAATGGCATGTTGTGGTTGAACTTCTGATGAATCAATCAGCAGCAAAAGTGATTATAATTCATTTTTATCATATGTGATAGGGAACTCATTCTACAAAAACAATAAGTGAGGTTAGTGGCACGGGCAGAAAGCCATGGAATCAGAAAGGTACTGGTAGAGCTAGGCACGGTACACTTCGTGGCCCTCAGGTAATTTACTTGTAAGTTTTGAATAGTTTTTAATGGTTATTTGATTTCGCTTAGTTCTCTGAATGCACTTTGGTTGAACCCTTAACCCGAAACAGTTCCGAGGTGGTGCTACAATGCATGGGCCCAAGCCGAGAAGCCATGCCATTAAGTTAAATAAGAAGGTTCGACGGCTCGGTCTGAAGATAGCCTTGACTGCCCGGGCTGCAGAGGGAAAGGCAAGTCTCTCTCTCTCTCTCATGCAGAGCACGGGTAGACATGGAAACTCAATCCCGAGATGATCTTTCACCAGATCCCGTTTTAAATCCCTTTACTGAGCACAATCTGATGAAGTTTTACCTCGTTATGACTCGTTTTTACGTGACTTATCCTTTCACTTGGCAGCTTATAGTCTTCGATGATTTGGAGCTGCAAACGCATAAAACGAAGAACATTGTGAAGTTCTACAATCAAATGGAGAACACGAAAAAACTCCTCCTTGTAGATGGTGCTTCCATTGATGAGAAGCTGAAGCTTTCGACCCAGAATTTGCACTATGTCGACGTTCTTCCTTCCATCGTGAGTTATAAACAAGAACCCTTGCACTTCATCTTCATTATGTCACATTTTCGGTTCTCGAATCTCTTTCTTGATATCTGTCTTTTTTTTAACGTTGATTCCTCCATGCAGGGCCTTAACGTTTACAGCATTCTGCTTCACGATACGCTGGTTATGTCTCGTGGCGCTGTGAACAGAATCGTTGAACGAATGCACACTCCAATTAACCGGTGAGAGCCAAACCGGATCAAACCTCCTATCTGCTTAACCGGAGCAAGAAAATCCGGTTTCTATATACAAATTAAGCAGTCGGTATTAGTTTCGGTTAAACAATGTATCGGTTTTGTTTTCGTATAATATCGGTTATACCGGTTAGTCCCGGTTTACTAGTTGGAATGCTGACTTTGGTGGAGGATTTCCGTAGTGTATGAGTATGAGGAGCTTCTGTGGTTTTGGTTAATTTCAGATTACTTCTAGTTTTTTAAATGCTTTCGTTTCAGTTGGTCCTAAAAGAATTTTAATTCTGGTTCGAATTTTGCCAAAAAAATAAATAAATTAATTGTACCTCGTTTGTACCAACTCTAGATTTATATTTTTTTTGGTAAACTATTATACCCCACATGGGGGTCATATCAATTCAGAATCTTCATGCAATTTTTTTTTTATTTATGAACAATTCTAATACGGTTATTATAAAAAATATCGTCCGAATGTTATTTTGATTTCAATTTATATAATTCTTCACGTGACCATTTGATTAGAATTACGGTTTGTTCACGTAATAATTACAGTGATCATAACATTAAATTTACGATGATTACGCCAATTCACCGTATTTACTTTTTATATTTTAAACTAAGCATTTGATAAAATTATTATAAATTTAACGTTATAACCAATATGATCATCATACACGATTAAATTATAATTCTGATCATTTAATCAAAACTAAAGAAGATATAAATTGAAATCAAAATAGCATATGGACTGATTTTTATTCTAATAGTCTTTTTTGCAAACCCAAAATGAAATCAAAGTTAATGATAGGAAGAAAAAAAGAAAAGGAAAAGAAAGTGAATAATACTATTTGGTCAATGGTCCATGTGACACGTGGCTTACTCTGATTCGTTGAAGATAAATAGCCCCTTCAAAATTCAAATCTAAGCATGCTTAACGTTTAATTAATGATCCCCCAAGGCGAAGGAGCTATTTTACCAAATTGGGATTAAACCTGATTAGGATGACCACAATTATAAATTAATCAGAATATTTCTCTCTCTCTCTCGTCCTCCCGACAACAGAAACATAATCACTGATTCTGTTTCAACACCTAGCAGAGATTCTCTAGATTTCTCTTTCAGACCGTGAATTCTTTAGCGCGTTTATTGTGTTGTTTTTCACGTATTGTCCCAGAATCGGAGCTTCCCATACTCGTGTAAAGTTGCGGCCTTTTTTGCATTTTTGAGGAACAATTACGGGGCTTGAACTGAGATTACGAAACCCTAAGAGCTGCGATGGCGAAGACAAGACCTGGGGTTAGTAGTAGTAGTAGCTCCAAGAGCAAACCGGGGAGGAAAGAGCTGGATTCTTACACCATTAGAGGCACCAACAAAGTCGTACGAGGTAGTAATTCTGACGATTTCGTTGTAGCGGCGGATTTTGAGATGTTTTGCTACAGAAATGTGTTGGGAAACTGTTTGGGCTGGCAATGTCTGTGTTTGATTGGAATTTTAGGGTTTATCTGCGTCAGTACAATTGTGAATTTGCTTGTTGTCTGAAAGACTCGAACCTGTTTGGGACCGAGAATCTTTTGGATTTTCTCCAAATGTGGGCTTTATGGGCACTTAAGGAAACGCATTTTCGTCTATATTTTCACAGCTGGGGATTGCGTTTTGATGCGCCCATCAGACGCCGGAAAGCCTCCTTACGTGGCCGGAGTGAAGAAGATTGAGGCAGATGCTAGGAACAACGTTAAGGTTCATGTAAGATGGTACTATCGGCCGGAGGAATCTCTAGGAGGTCGTAGACAGTTCCATGGAGCAAAAGAACTTTTCTTGTCCGATCACTATGATGTTCAGAGTGCTCATACGATCGAAGGCAAATGCATTGTTCACAATTTCAAGAGCTATACAAAGCTTGAAAATGTCGGTGCTGAGGATTACTATTGCAGGTTTGAGTACAAGGCTGCAACTGGAGCGTTCACACCAGACCGAGTTGCTGTGTGAGTATATATTGAGTGACTCTCGAATGGGTGATCCAATGTGGATTCCTTTAAGGTGTACTCAGCGAATTGGATTGACGGGTTTGTGGTTCTTGCTTTGATTTTCTTTAAAAAGGTACTGTAAATGCGAGATGCCGTACAATCCAGATGACCTCATGGTGCAGTGCGATGACTGCAAGGACTGGTAATGGTTCCACGATTTTAGTTATTGCAATAGATTCACTTTAAGACTACCAATGTACCTGAGTGTGGAAGAGCAATAAGAAATTAATCTTTTATAGCTCCATGTTACGAGTTATTTGAAAGGAACGGGCAACTGCCCGGTATCTGCAGATATAGAGGCTATAACCAAATCAAATCCTTTTATTTCAATGTTTCGTCGATCGTTACTCCTATGAAAAAACTAAATAGTTATATCTGTGTCAGAACGGAAAGATTTAGAAGGTGACTTTTGAAGTTCAAGATTCAACCAGTATTAAGCTGATGTTGCTGTACCAGTATCGATATCTGGTTATGCAACCTATTACAGGTTAAACCAATGCTGCATCCTTTTGTAAACTGTAGGTATCATCCAGCTTGTGTTGCAATGACCATAGAGGAAGCCAAGAAATTGGATCACTTTATGTGTTCTGAATGTGATGCTGCTGTGGACGAGAATGGCAAGAGATCCCCGAATGGATTTGCCTCATCACCATCGGATGATATCAGGGTAAGATATCTTGGTTGGCTCTATGTCATAAAAAAAATGTTAACACCAATGTTGCATACCTCATCACAGATAAGATTCAAAAGATAACGCCTAATATTGCTGTAGAAGTTTCAGACTTTCAAGGATCTAGACACCTGGTTCTTGTCTTTTCTTTTTCGATATATAAAGCATGGGAGTTTGGGTTTCTTGATTGTTCATACTGTCTTTCTTTCCAAGTCTGTGCTATTGCTTTCATGCTTATGCCCAGTTCATGTTAATATTCACTGTCTGGAATGAAAAAGGTAACAGCTTTTCAACCAGTATTCCAAAATCATGGGACATTGGTCTGTTTCAGGTCATAATGTCATTCTTAGGACATAGAATCATCATTTGTCCTCCAATGCTGCTTCTTATTGCTTTGCTTCTCTGTTTCAGGTGGAGCCAAAACGCAGAAAAAGATGAAAAAAACAGGTAATGTGAGCCAGATCCTTCTTCATCTGTAGGATTTTGATTCTTTGAAAAAAAAAGAATCTCGATGGACCCGAGGAAGAATAGAAAAGGAATGAAAAAGGAAGAACGGGAAACGGTTGCGGGTCTGTACAGAGGTCCCCGTCGTTGAGAACTGAGTTATGAAAATCGGATTTTGAAGGTTCCTCGAATGGAAAACTCCTTTCTTCATATTCTGCTTCTAATGGAACTTGTGGATGTTTTCTTATCTTCTTGTTTGTATACATTTGTATTCTGATGATGTTCTGAAATTGGTTAAAGTGTTGTGTAATAACTTGAAGAAATGTCCAGAAACGTGAAATTGGTGAAGTGCCTTGTTCAGCAAGCAATTGCGTAGCCCTAGATCCGTAATAGTTTTTTAGTATTCTTTTTTTATATCTAAAATAATTCTAATTTAATATTTTTGGTTTCCTGTCTCCTATTATTTTTCTATTAAAAATATTGCTATAACTTTTAGATTTTTTTGTGTACAATTTAAATATTTACATGTTATGGACTTGGGTGTCTAAATCACAAAATCGGCATGAAAGGAGGAAAATTAAAAGAAAACGGTGATTTAAAAAGCTTCCATATACGCGAGATTCACACAACTCCCTTTGAAAATGCATCCAATAAATGCGAATATGTTTTTTTTTTCAAGTAACTAATTAGACAATTTGTAACGCTTAGCTCTTGCGAAGCTCACGTTGATGACGTGCACGGTCCAATAATATGACTTTTCATTTAAACTATAATCCACACACATATATATATATGGGAAATGTATATAAGTTATTTGAAGAGTAAAAAAATTTATTTAGACAAAATGGAAAACAAATATGGGAAATTTAGAAAATGTTATTACATATGGGTGCTTGTAATTATAGCTGTTTTGGTAGTGTGTATAATATTATGCGGCGCAGAAGCTGAAGAGGACGAAGAAGACAATCGGCAAATGATTTACTCTGTTTTGGTCGAAGGTGACCCTTTGGCCTTCCGTCACCCTTCCACCTTCCGCAGGTTTTGATTTCATACTAACCCTCTCCTTTTATCATTTAATTACTTTAATTTTCTATATCCATGTGTTAAATTTTCCCAATATTTTTTTTTGTATATTTGGCAGCAATGAATGAATGTGGTATTAGGCCTGTAAACCGGTTTAGTTTGGTTTGTTTCGGTTTAGTTCTTCAATGGCTTGTATAAAAATCATGTAATGATGCTATGTTGAATGTTAAAGAATCAAGAAATGGAATCGAAACAAATTTTCTGTTGAGTAATATTGATTCATAAAGAAAAGTTTTTTTAATAGGATTTATTTGAAACACTAAACCGAACCAAACCAAACATTATATCGGTCTCACACTATAATTCTAATATATGGTATCGTAATTAATGATTTTATCTATTGATTTTTTTTTATGTTCCTTCATTGCTTTATTTTCCACGGCGATTTTTGGGGGGAAAAAATTGTACAATTTTGGATACCAAAGTAAACCGGTCACATTCTAATAACATGGTAACATATATAATTAATGATTTCATCGACCGATCAAACCCTACATTTTGCTAACCGGTTAGTGTCGGAAAATTAGCAAAGCCGTGAGGGACGAAGCGAAGAAGATGGAAGAGTTTCATGAAGAAATACTTGCAAAAACACTTGAAAATGGAAGCTATACAAAGCTTTATAGCTACAAACATATCATCAACGCTTTTGCTATCCACACGTCACCTTCTCAGGTAAATCCATGATCTCTTATATATGCTACGTATATGCATGATGCGAATGGATGATAACTTGCAGGCCAAGAAACTGAAGCGTGCGAAAGGGGTAAAAGAAGTGGAGGAAGACAGAGGAGTGAGGGTGATGACGACATACACTCCCGAGTTCTTGGAACTGCCCCAACATGTCTGGACACAGATCTCCGGCGGCGACAGGCATGCCGGAGAAGATGTCGTTATCGGTTTCGTGGACACGGGAATCAACCCTTCTCATCCGAGCTTCGGTTTTGATCTCACAAATCCATATTCTTCCAATCTCTCTCGCTTTTCCGGTGTATGTGAGACCGGTCCTCTCTTTCCGGTCGGTTCTTGCAACGGCAAGATCATCTCGGCCAGGTTTGTGAACTTAATCTGATTTTCCAAATATCTATCCGGACATGTCGGATGATGAATTCAACACGTATGATTTCCTAGATTCTTGGTGTCTGTTCGAACATTTAGTCATTAGTGATATTAAATGTAATTATTACACACGAAGTTATAAATGGTTACAAATATCTCTACATGTCAGTATTTAAATTTCTCCATAGTTTTTTTTTATAATGTAATTAAGGTTTTTCTCCGCCGGCGCAAGCCCCCCCGCCGTTCTTAACGCCTCTGTGGACATACTTTCACCGTTCGATGCGTCCGGCCATGGGAGGTATATATATTTATCAGTTTTTGTTATATATGTACGTGTATATGAATATATATATATATATGTATATATGTATTTCTATATGAACATAATATAATAATATTATAATAATCATCATCATCGTGTGAATTTGGTTCCAGCCACGTGGCATCCATTGCAGCTGGAAACGCAGGAGTTCCAGTGATCGTCGACGGATTCTTCTACGGCCGCGCTAGTGGCATGGCCCCACGTTCACGGTTCGTTCACTTTATTATTTCAATTAATTCATATACAGTATAAGAAAATCCAAACTTAATTTGAGCTATTAATGTACACACACACACACATATATATATATATGAATATATATATATATATATATATGTATATCATAAGCTAGTTGAATTTACTTGTATGCATTGTAGTTTCTCTCGTTGCTTTTGCTTCACAGAATAGCTGTTTACAAGGCCATCTACCCAACTATCGGAACTCTTGCTGACGTAATCGCAGCAATCGATCAAGTATCTCTCCTATATATGTATATATATATTTGTATATGTATATACCCAAAAAAGATTCTATGAATTACATAAGCATAAATTCGCATTCTCCCGTTTACTGCAAGGCGATAATGGACGGAGTAGATGTGCTGACGCTGTCGGTGGGGCCGGACGAGCCGCCGGAGGACAAACCGACGGTGCTGGGGATGTTCGACGTGGCGATGCTGTTGGCCAGGAAAGCGGGAGTGTTCGTGGTCCAAGCCGCAGGGAATCACGGCCCTTCTCCGTCTTCAGTCGTGTCTTACAGCCCCTGGGTCGTCGGAGCCGCAGCCGGAAGTACGGACAGGTCTTATCCCTCTTCCCTTTTCCTCGCCGGCGGCCAGAACGTTGGAGGCATCGGACTTTCTGGTGAAAAGCTTCTTCCTTTATTTTTTTGTCTCTCTTTTAAATTGTTGATTTTTGGCTCCTTTTTATTTCGGGTTTAGATTCAATTTATTTCGTTATTTTCAGATTTTTTGTTATAAATATATATACTCATTTAATTTTATATTGAATTCGGTTTGATTGGTAAATAAAATAGTATTCATTTTCTAAGGAATTTTTTGTTTTTCGGTTATTTTATTATTTGATTTTATATCGAATTCGATTATGATATAATAATGAATATTCAGTTCAAATTGACTCAGTTTTGGAGATAACGTTACCATCCTAGGTTTTAGTGAACAATATAGAATCTCTTATACATATATACATATATATATAATATGTAATATGTATTGTAATGGATAGGGCCAACATTTGGAGCCGGTTTGCTACAGCACAAGCTAGTGTTAGCAAAAGACGCAATGAGAAGGAACATGTCGTTTCTTGGGACGGAAGCAAGCGTAGAAGAATGCCAAAGCCCCGAAGCATTAGAGCCGGCGATTGTATTCGGAAGCATCGTGATATGCACTTTCTCCGACGGGTTCTACAACCAGACCTCCTCCCTCCTCAACCTCCTCTCCACTGCCGCCTCTCTCCGCTTCTCGGGTTTCGCCTTCGTGGCCAACCCGAGGTTCGGAGACTTTGTCGCAGAGCCTGTGATTTTCCCTCTGCCCGGAATTCTCATCCCCAAAGTCTCTGATTCTCAGGTAAATATAATTCAGATTCATTGAATAGATTTATGACAGAGGTTCTCTTGGATTTTACCTCTGGTATACATATATATAGTCAGTAATGGCATGAATTCATTTTCATGAAAACGTGGAATGTTTCTCGATCGTAGATTGTGATGAGGTACTACGAGGACAAAACGTACAGAGACAAGAGAGGAACGGTGACAGAGTTCGGAGGAAGAGCGAGAATAGGAGAAGGAAGAATAGCTGAATTGGTCGGAAAAGCGCCGGCGGTGAGCAGATTCTCGTCCAGGGGGCCGGACTTCATCGACGTGAATCGGAAAGTCCTGGATGTGCTGAAACCTGATGTTCTAGCTCCTGGTCACCAGATCTGGGGTGCTTGGACCCCTCCAAGTGCCTTTGACCCCATCCTCACAGGTTAGGGTTTACTTTACTTCTCGGGCAAGTAATCTTTTGAATACCATATAGTATATTTTTAAGCAATCCCTAAAAACCCTAAACCCAAAAAAAGCCCTCGAAACAGGACCTTATCCATCCTCACACGTTAGGGCTCACGATTACTTTACTTCTCGGGCAAGTGATATAATATATTTGGTTAAAATTATATTTGGAATTTTGTGAAAATGTGTAATAACTAACACGTTTGGTTTTTTGTCAGGACGTAGCTTTGCGCTATTGTCAGGTACGAGTATGGCGGCGCCGCACATAGCAGGGATCGCCGCGCTGATAAAGCAGATGAATCCGACGTGGACTCCGGCGATGATAGCGTCGGCTATTTCCACCACTGCCTCCGCCGTCGACAGCTCCGGCGAAGTCATTGCGGCGGAGTCCTACGACGTCTACGGTTTATTTCCTTCTAACCATTTTGACCGTGGAGCCGGTCATGTTAATCCGGGCCGGGCCATGGATCCTGGCCTTGTTTTACCCGCAGGTATACATATACTATTCTTTTTTAATTATGTTTTTGTCAAAAGATATTTTTTTTATACAAGTGGGTAAGTTCGAATAGGATAGGTTTATTTTGGATTTGGATTTGATTCACTTCTAATTATGTTTTTATTGTTTTTAGATTGAAAATATAATTGATTTGGATATTAGTTTAGTTTAGGTTTTTCCTATCTACTTCTGCTCGATTTTTTTGTAGGTGTAGAAAATGGTTAAAAATAAACTAGATTGTTATCATTTATCAAATATATAGATATTTAACAAATGGGGAAGTTGAATAGATTTCAATTAATTTCGGATATGGGCAAGAAAAATCATATATATATATATATATATACATATTCTTAGTTTGATGGAAGAATTGACTTTGATATAGTTTAGCTTATTTCATTTCTAGTTCCGTCTAGCGTAAAAAATATGATTAAATTAAACCAATTTTCTTCTGATTTGGTTTTTATTTGATTTTTTAATATTCAATTTTGTATTCGTAGATTTATGTGCCATTTTTTTTATAAATTTGTTATACGATCCTTTTTATTTGTCTAAAAAAATTGGTAGATTGTATCATTAATAGTAATACGTTGTGAGTTTATAAGTTTTTTAATGATGGAACTATTGAACCAGGTTTTGAAGACTACATTAACTTCTTGTGCTCAATACCGGACATAAACCGGGATATGGTTAGAGCCTCTATCGGAATGTGGTGCACCACGACGACGCTTAGCCACCCCGCAAACCTAAACCTCCCGTCGATAACTATTTCAACACTCAAAGGGTCTCTAATGTTGAGAAGAAGTTTCCAGAATGTTGCCAACAAAACCGAAACATACATCTGTTCGGTATTTCCACCCAATGGAACGACGGTTCGGTTAAGCCCACCTTGGTTTACGATACCGGTTCAAGGAAAACAAGATCTAGACATCGAATTTAACGTCACAGAAGTTCAAAATCAATTCACTTTCGGTGAAATTGTTCTAACGGGAAGTTTAAACCATATTGTGAGATTGCCATTATCGGTTAAGACTGTACCGATCGTCTAGTGTAAGTGTGCAGAATCAATTTCGGTTCGGGTTATCTTGGTTATAATTTCATTCGGTTTGACTTGGTGTAGTGTTACGATATTAAAAACTAGTTTGATATCGATTAGAAATTGAATTTGGATTACATAAAACTCTTAAAAAGCATATGAGGTTGTTCAGATGCCAATCCTAGTTGGTACTACATCATACATCTTTTTTTTTTATATTGTGGTTACTTGTATAAGTTAAATGAGATATAACACACAAATATACTCATACTTTCTCTCTCTCTAAAGCTTCAGCTCTGTGAGGTTCTTACAAAACTACTTTCTTCCAGCGAGAGACCATAATTTCCGGCAATTCTTAATCGGAGAGAGACCATAATTTCTATCTCTCTACACTGTATTACCATAAAATCATTGTGTTAAAGTTCGAATCTCTCCACACTCTCTTTATGGGTTTTGTCTTTCATTTAATCGATTTCGATTTATCTACCTTCGTAAGAACATGTATTTATGTTGCAAAGAACTGAATTCCACATATATAGATAGTTCTGATGATCTACGATAATTTTGAATTTGCTCCCATTATGTATGTAGATTATCTTCTTGTTGTTTCTTGTTTTCGGGTTTAAACTACATACATTTCTTGTTTGGAATTTGGCTACAAAATGTATAATTCCTTGTTTAGTATTTTGTTCATTTCGCATCACATCTAGATTATCACTATCTAGATTTTGGAAATTTTTGTCTTGAACTCGATAATTTTCAACAAGACATCTGATTTGAAAATTTCTTTTAAAAATCTTTGGTGATACTAATGACAACCATCAGATTTCTAAAGTTTCTTATAATCAGACAATATATAGATGATAAAGCGTTTGAGCACTGAAGGAATAGATGAAAAATACAGTATCAATTTGTTGTCTGATGATGAGATCCTCTAGATATTGTAACTCTTGAATACAAACGATGCGGGAGTTACTTTCTTCCAGAGCTACTTTCTTCCGATGAAAGATCATAATTTCCGGCGATTCTTCATTGGAGAGAGACCGTACTTTCTAGCTCTCTCTACACCGTATTTCTATAAAATTATTGGTTAAGATTCGAATCTCTCTACGCTCTCTTTATTGGTTTTGTGTTTCATTTGATCGATTTCGGTTGATTTTACATCGAGAAGAACATGTATTTATGTCGTGAACACTACAAAAAAATCAGCAAATTCCAACGAATTTTCCAACGGATTTATCCGTTGGAAATTTTTCAACGGATTTTCAACGGTTTTCAACGGCATTTTAACGGTGATTTCCGTTAAAAATCCGTTGAAAATTTCCAACGGATATCCGTTGGAATCGCCCGTTGGAAATTTTTAACGGAATTTTCAACGTATTCAATTGAAAAAATTAGGGTTGAAATTTTCCAACGGTATTTCCAACGGATATCCGTTGGAATTTTTTTTGGAAATTTTAAAAAAAAATTCCAACGGAATTCCAACGGATGTCAGTTGAAATTTTTTTTGAAAATTTTAAAAAAAAATTCCAACGGAATTCCAACGGATGTCGGTTGGAAATTTTTTTGGAGATTTAAAAAAAAAATTCCAACGGAAATTCCAACGGATGTCGGTTGGAAATTTTTTTGGAGATTTAAAAAAAAAATTCCAACGGA